TCTAAGACCATCTAAAACTCTAGTGCCACAATGTCCCAACCGACGATGCCAGAGTGGTCCAGGTGCTGCGCTAGAGGACAAAGCCAACGGTGGTGATGGAGAAAAATGAATGGGATAAAGATTGCCGCTACTGGAAGCCTGAAGTAGAACCGCCCCCGTGATTTTGTCCTTAATCAAAACAGAATTTTTTATCAAAAATTACCATGCAATTATTGTCAGAACACAGCATGCGAATAGAAAGCAAATTATATTTAATTTGAGGGACATGATAAACAAATCTTAAATGAAGAGGCTTTGACAAGGAATTAAAAGAGATATCACCAATATTTTTAATTGGTAGATTAGTTCCATTAGCAACAGTAACAGCAAGTGGCCCAGAATAAATAGATTTATTAGCTAAAATACCTTCCTGATGAGTCATATGCGCAGAAGCACCGGAGTCTAGAAACCAGACAGCGTCATTTTGGTCACTCATAGGTGCAGCAAGAGCAGGGGCAGCCGGCTGATTAAAACGGGACGGACAGGAGACAGCAGAATGACCTGGAGAATAACAAATTTGACATACAACTGGAGGGGGAATAGAACCAAACTGTCAATCAGCTAAGGGCGAGCCTGCAGATCTGTGATTAGTACCAATAACAAAATAGGGACGCGTATTGGACGATGAAAAAACTGAATTACAAAGTGTTGTACCTGATTGTCCCTGTGGAGGTGCACCTGCCGGTGGAAAGGGGAAATATCCCGGCTGAAAGTAGCCGCCCTGTGCTGCGGATCCAAGCCTCGGCTGATAATGGTATGGCGGATGGGCTGCATAACCCGGCTGCTGGCCTTAGCCACGGCCTCTGCCGCGGTTGCCCCGACCTCGCTGACCACGGTTCCCCCGACCACCACGGCCCTGAGCTTGTTGACCGCGATTATCCTGCCCGTTCCCAGCTGGAGGCGGCTGCTGAGCCGCAAACGCAGTGGGCGAAGGGACAGTGTCCTGAGAACGGAGGTATTGAATGCGATGCTCCTGTTCAATCAATCTAATGCGTAATTTCTCAAACGTGAGTCCCTCCGGGAAGGTGGTCAGAGTGGTCATCATGGATTCATATTCAGGACCAAGATCTAGTAGAGCCTGCTCAAGAAGATCTTTCATAGGCACCGGAGAATTAATGGCGGTGAGAGCTTCTGCAATCTTTTGGATCTCACACATGTATTGTTCCATGGTTTGATTTTCTTTCTTTTTGCAATTACTCTTTAATCGTTTTAATTCCATGGAACGCGCTAAACTAGCAGCCATAAATCGTGATTCCAGACGTTCCAAGATGGTAAAAGAATTTTTTAAGGTATGAACTTCAACAAGTATATCACGAGATAAAGTAGCAAACAACCAAGAACGGACTGTTTGATCTAACTTTAGCCAGTAAAAATACTCATTATTTGTTACCTCCCTACGAAGAGCATCAAGTATATAAGGAGGAGGAGGAGGAATTGTACCATCTAGGAAGCCCAATAATCCATGAGAAACCAAAAAAGATTCAAACTGAGTTCTACAGGGTAGATAGTCTTCAACCGCATCAAGCCTTGTGGTAACAATATTTGTAATATTTGGAGTAGAAAATCCCATGGATTGAACAATAGCCTCAAGTATCGATCTAGACACCGGAGCAATAGGCTGTCGAGGAGCAGTCGGCCGAACCGCTGGTGGCAGTGTGACACCTGGTGAGCCGGAAAACGTAGGGCCAGCATACTGTGGACGGGATTCAAAACGCTCTGTCTGGAGAACGGCATCTGGGCTAGGACGGGAACGGCCTGCCGGAGACGACCAGTCGAAAACCGGTGGAGCCGACCAGTCAAAGGTTGAAGGTAACGAGGCTGCTGATATAGTCTGCGCAACAGATGAACTGGCGCCAAAAGAGAGAATGAGTGGAGCCATCATCGTGGCGGATGATGCCGGTAAGAGGACCGTTGGCGCTGTCGTGGACGGTGGCGCGACTGCGGCGGTAGTGGCGGACGTGGATGCCATAGGATCGGAAAAAAACTTAAAGAAACCCTAAGACTCTTGATACCATGTGAAAGTAATAAACAAGCTTAACCAGACTGGTAGACCTGACTGTATATTTATAATGAAATAAGTTTCCAAATACAATTAGGATACTGCCTAATAATTAATACATAATTAATTCTACTCTATTATGTATAAGGTGCCCGGAGTTGTTCAAATTTAGACTGTAGATCGTTCTGAAATGAGAGATTTTCCTAAATAAGACTAAAAGAATGTATAATTGTAAAAACAGGACTACTATGTTTTATTGGACAAAAATAGGACTAAAAAGAGCTAAACTGACGAAAATACCCCTCATGAAAAAATTACGCACACCAGGTCTCTGCTGCGCATGTTTCCCCTTCCCCTTTCTGCGCAGGTTTCCCCTTCCCCTTGTTGCGCAGGTGTGCCGTATGTGCATGTTTGGAGTCGACGCCTCCACCATTGGCACCTCTGCCACCATCCATGAAGTCTGCCACCACCGCCACCACTCAACTAGTACGCTGCCATCACTCTCCAACAAAGATTTGCCCTGAAGTGAGTCAATGCATACCTCCATGAGGAATGACACTTCATATGCGAGAATGTCACTTCATATGCACAATGACACAATAATGACAATTTCGTATAGAGAAATGACATTCTCAATATGACATTTTCAAATACCGTAATGACATAAAAGTGACATTTTTTAAAAATACCCAATAATAATGACATTCTACTATTCAAAAGTGGCATTTTCTGGAATCATTAGTCATAGCATTTTGAGAATCAAATTAATCAAAATTGATAACAAGAAATTCAAGTTCAGATATATCTTCATTTGGAACTTTCAAAATTCAAAATTTTATTTAAAATTTGATTGATAAAAAACTAAAAAAAAAGCAGAAAACTAGGAAGAAGAAGAAGAGGAGGAGGAGGAGGAGGAGGAGGAGGAGGAGGAGGAGGAAGAGGGGGAGGAAGAAGAAGAAGAAGAAGAAGAAGAGTACATACCTGTCTTGGCTATTGCAGCAGAGGTCGTCGACGGCGGAGCTATGGTGTTATGAGGCTACGATCGATGGCGGAGTGCGGCCATGGTGGAGTAAAGAATCGCGGAAGATGAATGGCTTAGATGAAGATGAAATTGGCGATTGATTGTAGAGGGTTAGGTTAATGAGGGGTAAAAATGTAATCTTTAGTCCTATTTAGGCAATTTAAAACTTGAAGTCCTATTTTAGAGTTTTAACCATGTTTTAGTCTCATTTAATATAATTTCTTTTCTGAAATTCCACAATCGCCTTTGTCTTCTCCAAACATTCGTTGCAGGGACAGACCTTCGAAAAATCATATTCGAGTAGCTTTACTGGTGGCACCAACACCGTTATATGGCCAAGCATTCTTTACAAATAACGACGGAGATGTGTTATAACCTATGGGTTTGGCGAGGAAAGGCCGGAGGATGAGGGGAAGGAGATGGATGTTAGTCTGATTAGGGTTTTCTGGATGTCCGGATCAGTCTACCATTTATCATGCTTATTTAAATTCAATAAGGACTAATTTACCTTTTTTGGGGGGAACATTATGCATATCCTTGCACCGCTTTTTAGAAGTTCAATGATACATTTGCACATCCTTTCAAAAAGAAAAGCAAAAGTTCCCGAAATAGGATCAAAACACTTTCAAAATTCTAAAATATGACTGTCATGTTTTTTATTCTTAAAATAGGACTAATTACTGTCATGTTTAGAAAATACTGCTATGTTTGAAGTTTGGTACTGTCAAAACATGACAGTAATTAGTTCTATTTTGGGAATAAAAACATGAGAGTCCTATTTTGGAATTTTCAAACTATTTTAGTCATATTTCGGGTAATATCTCAAAAGAAAATGATATATTTGCACCACTCAGATACAGCAGAAATTCAAAGCACCTCATGGCCACCCAAGGGAAAATTATACCATAGGATCGGCCCACCATGTGCATGGTGTTCGGATCCCACTATTAGTTATTTGAACATCACTTTCTTTTTCTAGGAGCATCTATCTCATTTTTCCTTTGCTTTTTTTTTCTTTTCTTCAATTCTTTTCTTCGTCTCCATCAAATACTAAAAATTTAATTGTAATTTTACTTTTCTTTATCTTCAACTTAAATTATAACTCAATCTTTTTTATTCAATTCATAAAAAGAAATTTATTAATTCAAATAAACAAATTATATTACATTTCAACTTACATTTTATATTACATGCACTACTTTTCTTTTTGTAATCGTTTTTATATTCATACACTTTTTTGTAATATCTTTTTATATTCATACACTTTTTCCTATAATATATATTTTCTCTCTTTTATAGGCTTTTAGTGTTTTTAAGACACTGAGATTATTTATTTTCATTAACATTTAATAAAACATGTAATTACGTACATTTTCATGTGTCTGATTTAAATATTTTGTATGTGTGAATTATATGTATAATTCCTTGAGTTATATTTGATAATACATGGAGTTATATCTACTTATGCGTAAGTTAATTACATCTAATTATGCGGGAGTTACATCTATATGTACACTAGTGCAAAATCGTTAATCAGAGGCGCTTCAAATGGCTCACGTGCGGCGCTTTGAAGCGCCTCTAAAAAATGTGCCGCAAATCTCAATTGGAGGCGCTTTTTAGACTGGAAGCGCCTCTAATATTTTAAAAAAAAAAAAATCGGAATTTTGCGGCGCTTCTTACAGAAAAAGCGCCGCACGCGTGAGTGAAACAGAGGCGCTTCTGATGAGTTTTTTTATTTAGAGGCGCTTCTGACGAAAAAAGCGCCTCCAAAATATGCTACGTAAAATGAATTAGAGACGCTTCTAACCTTAAAAACGCCTCCAAACTTGGCTCCGTATTCTGTTTTAGAGACGCTTTTTTCACAAAAGCGCCTCCAAATTTTATTATTATTTTTTATATATTTTTAAAAATACTATATAACCTGTTTTATTTACAGATCCATTGTCAACTCAAAAAAACACATTCATTCATTCATAAAACCAGAATAACGATAAAATCGTTTCGCACAAATACAATTCAAAAGGTACAAATTTGTATCACAATATAATAAAACTGCATTCAAGTTTGGCTTAGTTCTAATGTCATAACACTTCATCTACAAAAAACCTAGCCCATACTTTTCTAATGTCATCAAACTCCTCCGTTGTATATAGCTCAGTTCTTGAATTCCAAACCTGAAAGTAATCATAAAAATATAGATAAAATAAGTAATGACAAACTAAATTATACTATCGTATATAAGTTAAATGATTTAATGAAATCCACCTATTGAAGTATATATAATTTAAATACATATGCAATATCTGAACTTCCAACACAAGTTATTATTTCCCAAATAAACTTCATCACATAATATCCACATTCTGTGTTGCCCGTTTGTCTTGCACACTATATATTAGATGACAAATATACATTATTATTTTATAATATGATTTTTTTACATAAAAGCATAACTTATGTAAATAAGAGAAGATATATGATGAAAGTACCTTCATATTATGCCATTTGATCGGCTTGCCACGACCCTTTTGTGTAGACGCAACTCTATACATCCTATAATGATAATTAAGCTCAATGTGTATATATATATATATATATATATATATATATATATATATATATATATATATATATATATATATATATATATATGTTCAATGTTGACATACAAGTATAAATGTTAAATATAAATGTTAAATATCACAACTAAATCATTAAAATTACATACATCGTAAGATCTTTTTGAATAGCAATATTGGAATAACTTGGCAATGAATTGAAAATGTAGCCCTTATCAACCTTTGGACAAATTACAAACAAAATCCAATGATACCTATATTTCCAAAGAGAATAGAAAATGGGTTAATATTTCTTATGTCACGATCAATAAATATAATATGTAAAAGTGAATGTAATATATGAATCATACCCTTCATTATATGCCAAGAGAATTATATTCTTTTCAAACATTTCAATGAGAGCATGCTTCATGTAAGTCAGTGTGCCCTTTTTATCCAATTGATAATACTTAAAAGAACAAATCCAAGGACACAAAAGACCCACATCATCACGACCAAACTCAATCAGTTTTGCATTTACACAACTACATGCATGTGAAATTATAATATTAATAATTAGTCAATAGTAATTAAGTCTAACAAATATTCAAGAGTGCTTGTAAACTTATTATTATACTTACCACATAAAGGTCTGAATAATTGAAAGATCAACAGAACCACTCTCAAGAAATTGACTCAAGTCTTCACGGTCAACAACGGTCCCAAATGGGTTATCATCAATATAACAGAACAACTCCGCAGGAAGAGGAATAGAAAACTTACAAAGATCGGGCTCATACCACTCAAGATTTTCATGCAATCTTAAAAGATCATCTGTAAGTGAATGAAGAACAGTTTCACTGACCAATGAATGTGAGCTGGGTTCAACCGTTACTTTTGGTGAATCTCTCACGATAAAGGGTACTTTTTTCTTAGCTCCATCCTTCTTTTTTGACTTAGACGGTGGTTCCTAAAATAATTATTACATAAAAATGTATGAAAGAATTTCATATCGAAATAAGCAACAAAAGTAAAAAATATGAAACAATAACTTCATTACCTCTCCCTCAAAAAAACCAAATGAGATGGCCATTGAACATATGAACCTACATCGTCTGCTACAACATTCATATCAGCGGCTTCATTAGGATAAAGCAATGGACAGTCTTCAAACTCTCGATATGTCATACATATGTTCACTTTGATTGTGTTTTCACACATCGGTACATTATGGATTAACGACCTAACAGGCGTGTTGTAGGCTACAGCCATGGCCACAAAGTCCAAACTCTTATCATCAGGATAAGTGTGTGACTCAACAGCAAGCCTACAAGATGCATCATCCTGCATGTATGTATGTACACATACAAATGAAAAATAAAACATTTTCTACATAAATAATTAATAAAATGTTACTTACAATGAATGTTTTTTTAAAATGGGGTGCAACAGAGTTCATAGTATCCACGTGGGCCGCCTCGGAAGCAGGCATTGAATCCCCGATAGGCACTTCACTTCTTGGAACAAAGTAATGTTGCATGTCTTTCATCAAACGCTCTTGCAACTGCTTTAGGTCAACATCACTCAAATTACCAACCTTATCTCGATGTGTGCTTCTCGACTCTCGATCAAAGACATGTGTATAACCCACACCACCACCGACGCCACGTGCACGTCCAGGGTAATCAGGCTTCCCAACAACCTCCGTCAATATATCATGTCGACCACTTGGCTTCCACGTTCCTGCTGCTACATCTTCTTGAAGTTTATCCTAGTACAGAAGAAATAGAATTTAATGTTAAAAAATAAACATGATTTAATAATATGATCATACATATACTAACTATAACTTACCAACTTCTCTTTTTTCTCGCGCATGCTCTCAGTATTACCAGGAAACACGATGTGACCATCCGCTGTTAATCCAGACCTTGCACAAAACCAAGTGACATGTCTTGGAATATCACCAGAAGTGGTTGTGCTAGAGTTCGTTGAATCTACTTCTGAACCGGTAAGAAACTGATCTAATAATCCTTGCTCTTTCCATTTCGGTATGGAAAGAACATATCCTGAACGACCCATATGATGAGGATAGATATTCTGAAGTGCAGCTTGTTTATTCTTCTCGCTCAAAGCCTATTCAATGTTTCATAAATATTAAACAACTACTTAATTAAAATATTGAAAATTTTTAATTCTATGACATACCACAAACTCAGGAGTCATAGTCTTTGCCACGAAACTATCCCACTCTTCTTTGGTAAGTTGGTCTTTATACTTCTCAAAAGCTTCCCCACAATCCTTTCCCACTTGACGAGTCTTATTTATGAAACCTGATCGCAATCGATTTCTCCAATCTCGGTGCATTTTGCCCAACTTTTTCAATAATGGTTTTTTCATATTATCCTCCACAGCATAGTCATGCTGCATGATAACATCAAAAATAAAGTGTTAGCGTATATTATATAGTGAAATGAATATAAATATTTCGGCTAACAAAATTGGAGATTTTGTAGGTACCTGTATCTCTTTAAAGATTTGATCTTTATTCGCTTTTGAAACTTTCTTCCAACTATCAATGTTTATACTCACTCGGGAACGTACCATCTTCCCCAAAAATGATTTAAACTCTTCAGCCCACTCACCGATGACAACATCGGTATCAGCAAATTCAATTATTTTTCGCCCCTCGCTGTCTCTTTGACCGCCACCGCCGCCATGAGGATCTTGATTATGACCAGGCTCATCTCCGTCGCCGTCGCTTATAATAATGATACATTTACAACTCCTACACATGCACTTGTGTTTAGGAGTATGTGTATATATATGTTTTTGAATTTTGAGTGTGTGTATTTGAGAACGAGTGAAATGTATTCAACACTACTGAACTAACACGAACTAAAACCAACCAATCTTTCATCTCAGTGGTGGCCATTATTCATTCGGGTATAATCAAATAATTATTACTTCAATAATTACACATACTATAATTAAATAAAATACATTGATAACGCTGTCAAATAAACAATTAATAAATTATAATTAACTGTGAGCCGAAGCGGTCCAAAAAAATCAAAGTACAATCAAATAAAAATGAAAAACATAATATATATGCCAAAAAAATAACAAATAAACTCACTTTTATCAATGTAAGTATAATTCCCACTTGATTAAAAATTAAGGAATCCTAAACATTGGAACAATGGATATCATATGTAATATACATTAATCTGAAAACATTTAAACTAAAATTTAAACTAAAATCAAATAAAAGTGAAATCAACCAAAATATACCAAAAACTTAATTAAAAAATAAACTGACCTGCGATGCGGGCCGGAGAAGTCGACGGGGAGCCGGAGAAGTCGACGGCGTGCCAGAGTAGTTGCAGGCGTGTAGCGGCGGCGAGCGAGCCTACGGCAGGCGTACGACGGCGGCGAGCGTGCTGGAGAAGTCGAATAACCTGATGGCAGGCGTACGGCGGCAAAGAGGAACAGCCGGCGGCGGTGCGGTCGAAAGGTCGCTTTGGTCGCGCGCGGTGCGGCTGCTATTTCCGTTTCCCAGCTGCTATTTCCGTTTCCCAGCTGTTGAAGACCAGCTAGGTTTGGACGACGACCCGGCCAAATATTTGGGTTAAAATTGGAGGCGTTTCTTACACAAAAAGCGCCGCACGCAGGGTATTTTTGTTTTTAAAAATACGAAATATTTAGAGGCGCTTCTAGCCCAAGCGCCGCACGCGTGGCCCAATTCCATTTAAAACCGGGGAACTTAGAGGCGCTTCTAGCCCAAGCGCCGCACGCGTGGCCCAACTCCAAAAAAACCCGGGGAAATTAGAGGCGCTTCTTTTCCTAAGCGCCGCACGAGTGGACGGAATTAAAAAAAAAACCGGGAATCAAATCGGAGGCGCTTCTTAAAAGAAAGCGCCGCACGAGTTAAAAAAATATTTAAAAAAAATGATTGGAGGCGCTTTTTTCCAATAAGCGCCACACGGTTTTAAAAAATTTTAAAATAATAATTTTAACGCCAAATAGAGGCGTTTGTGCTGAAAAGCGCCTCAAACGAAGCGCCTCTATTTGACGTTTTTCCACTAGTGGTAGTTACATCTTCTTATGTGCGGGTTACATCTTCTCGTGCGTAAATTACATCCTTCTATACTTGAATTACATCAATCTTATGCGCCATTTACATTTAAGTTTGGCTCAACAAGTTACATTTTGCATACATCTAAGTTAGACTTTCCATCAACGTGAGTTACATTTTTCATAACACGGTGATAGAGTATATATCTAGAGAGAAGTGAGAGCTAGAGAGAGAAGTGCAAGTAAATGGTTAAATAGAATGATTTTGTCACCTCTATAACTACCTCCAGAGGAAGTATTTATAGCAAAAATACGGGCTGGGCTCCCAAGCCTTGGGCTTGGGAGGCCCATTTACAACCGGACCGCTATTGGGCCGAATACAAAGTAACTGATGGGCTATATAAATGAATAAGTGTAAAATCTAGTTCTGTGAGTCCTCCGTGGCCGACGAGGATCTGGCCGACGAGGGCACGGCCGATGAGGGCACGGCCGATGAGGACACCCTGGTTCCCTGGCTCCAGGGGCATATTCTGAGTCGGTCCCTCTTCGGCCGACGAGGGTCCTTTGGCTGACGAGGGCGTCGCGTAGTGGCTTGTGCTTTCTGTTCTTCTGAGTATGTGGGTCCTGGGGCCTAGACCCATATCCTCCATCAGGAGTCCCCCACTCTCTAATCTGAGATGTAGACGAAGTGAAGGAGAGTAGATTTCTGTGCTTGATGCTCTTGGCCGATGCGGGACCACGTTGGCCGTTCCCTGTCGTGGCGTTTGGTGGCACTGTTCTGAGTTTGGCCGTTACCTTCCCCTTGACGTGGACGATGAGCGTTCCAGTTATGGGGGCGATGAAGACATTCTTTCCTTCTCACGATCTTCGGTGGCTGGATTTCGTTTTTGGGCCGAGGATGCCACTGCGGTTGCGTTCTTGCTTGAAGACGACGAGCCTCCCTCATCTTGAGTGTCCGTTAAGGGTGTTATTCACTCCTTCTGACCGTTAGTTTAAAGTTTGTACTGTTGGCCGAGGAGGCCATTGGGGCTGTCATTTGATTGGACGATGAGCGTCCTTGCTTGGTGGGAAGGATGAGCACCATTTGTCACGAACGGTCGATGAATGGTTGTGCCCACTCGGGACAGTTGGTGGCTGCTCTGGGCTCTTTGGGGCCGAGGAGGCCCTTGTGGTTGTCTCCTGTTTGAGGATGATGAGTATTCTTTTGTTCCCAGGTAGCCGATGAGGGTGCGGTTTGCTTCTTGGTCGTTGGCCGTGTTCTGTGTTTTTTGGCCGAAGCGGTGTTGTCCGTAGTCTGGTGTTCACGCTTTTGAGGACGATAACGGCACTGATCAGTGATCTGGGAGGGAATTCTTTGTTTGCTAGCTTTGCTGCGGCCGATGGTGCACCACGATGTTATGGACGTTGTGATGCATGTCTAATGTTGTAGTTGTGGACTTAGTGTATTTTTGGATTTCTTTGATTTTGTCCTGGTTTGCAAAGGCCGGTGTAGTCCCCCAGTCCCCCACTGCTTCAGGCCGAAGAGTAGGTGAGGGGTGAAGGAGTAAAGGAGGTACCCAGGCCGAAGCGGACTCTTGTATACACCTGAATCCAATTCCTTGACGATTTCCTGGTCAAGGTAACCCTATGGGAGAACCCTTGGACGCAGGTCGCTTTCAAGAAATTATCATCAGGGTTTTATACAGGGTCGATGGCGTGGGGTTTTCTTGGTGGTTTTGCTGGTGTGGCCGTTAAGAAAGCCATGCGATTGGTATTCTGTTCAAGCCGATGTCGAGTTGCCTTGAAATGTGATCTATCCCTTTGAAGCATCTCTGTGTTGAGGCCGATACGGGCACGCTTTATTAGTGTGGCCGTTGAGTGGTTGGCTCGTTAGTGGTGAGATGGTGTTGTGGAAGTGGGCCTGACCCGACTTCTGAATCGGTGCCCAGCCCAATGGGCTTTGAGGGTGGTGGCCGCTCATGTGGCCAATGGGAAGTTGCCACGTGTAGTGACCGTTTGGGGGGGAGGCCTATAAATACCCCCCCCCCCTCCGAAGAGGTTTCCTCATTGCATTCCTGAGATAACGAAGTGCTACTGAATTTTCTAGAGAGATAAAGTTCTTGCCAGTGTTCTTCGTGTTCATCAAGCTTCAAAGGTTAGTTCATCGAAACTTCCCTCTGTAATTTGCCTATTTCGCTTCCTAGGCCATTGATCCCTTGTTAGTGGAGATAGACGTTTAGATCCAAAGTAGAAACATCTAGGCTCTAGTTAACTGTTATAATGAAGCCCTTGGACGATGAGTACTACCCGTACGACGATGAGCCCTCTGCTAGGTCCCTTGATTACCGGGTGGTAGAAGAGTGTTGTGAGGAGATAGAGGAGTTGAGCTCCTTCAAGTCCGGGGAGGGTGAGGGTGAGGACGAAGAGGCTGCCTCCTCGTCTGATGGTGGAGAAATAGGGGCTTCACGTGCTGTGGACGGAGCGTCTACATCGGTTGCGATCCCCTGCCCGAACCCGGTTTCTGCTGTGAAGGGAGCTGCTCTGATAAGAAGGCGGCGGCCGAAGAGGGGTCCAGGTTTCTCTTACCTGGATCTCAGCAATCTTTATATGATTAAGCCAGAGAGTAGTGCGGCCGACTACCTGGTGGCCCAGATGTACGTGGGGCTGTATGGGCGGGTTAGGGCGCCCAAGCCGACGGATCACGTGTTGAATCCACCTCCGGGGTATTTTGGAGTATACCCCATGAGCTTCGCAAAGGGACTTAGGTTTCCCCTTCACCCCTTCATCACGGAATATCTGGATATGGTGGGGCTCCCTCCGGCCTTGCTGACTCCCAACAGCTATTCGCTCATAGTTGGCTTTCTTCTCCGCTGCGATGAGCTTTATTTTAGGCTGACGCCAGCGCTATTTATAAACCTGTACCAGATTGGCCGAGGGAGCCACAAGAACTGTGTTGGCTACGCCAATCTCCAGCAGCTGCCGAAGAAGAGGAGTTTCACTGATCTCCCTTCGTCTATTCACGGATGGAAGAGCAAGTTCATCTTCGTGTCCTTGGGTGAGAACGGCACGGAGTTCCCTTCGGTTGGTCATGACGGTAAGTTCACCCTGCATGACGTGCCGAAGAGCAGTATTCTGGATGCCCAGGTGGCGGCGTTTCTGAAGGGTGGACCGAGGAGCGTGAAACATTACATCACGGAGTATAAAATGACCGCCCTCGGCTTCATGAAGTACCATGTTTATGGTGACAAGGAAGGTGATCTTGAGTTATGGCCGAAGATGACCACCACCTTTGAGGAAGCCGACGGCCCGGATATGGGCATTCCTGCTGGTGCCGATGGTAATACCTTCCCCGGCGTCTTCGTCTATGTTTTCTTTTATGTTTTGCTAACTGTTTGTTTTCCTTGTGCAGACTTTGCTATGGATCGCAGATCCGTCATGGCCTTAGCAAAATCTAAGGCAAAAGAAGAAATGGCCGCAAAGGAGGCCGCGAAGGCGGCTGCTGGAGCGGCGTTACATCAAATGCTGATGCGGCGAAGAAGCCGCCAACCCAGCCGAAGAAGAAGCGGCCTGCTGATGACGGCCAGAAAAAGCTTACTGAGGCCGGTATGCAAGCCAAGAAGTCGAGGAGGGCTTCCCCTTCGGCCGATGCTGGTGCCGGGGGTGTGTCCATGCCGGAAGACGATGTCGGGGGTTCTAGCGTCGTTGCCGTTGTGGACGCGGTTTTGGTTCCTTCCTCGGCGATCCTTTCGCTGCCGGCCAGGAGCCCCGGAAGCAAAGGGCTGGCAAGGAGCTAGCCGGCAGGACTTACAAACTCGAGATCGAGTATCCCATGAAGGGTGGCGTCTTCAATGACGCCGTTGACGGCCATGAAGTCCTGGCCCAGGCTGTCCCGGTTGAGGATCGAGCTTATCTGAAGAAGCTGGGTGCCGTCAGGATTTACGATGGCGGCATGGACCTCATCGTCCAAGTAAGTTCCTCGTACTTTACGTTTTTTATGCCATGGGTTTTGCATCGTCCTCATTTTCTCATTTCCTTTTTTGTTTTGTTGTAGGGCGCTCTCATGCTGATGGAGAGCCACAAAAGGCAAGAGCAGGAGATTGCTCGCCTACGGGAGGCTGAGAAGAAAGCTGCCTCAGCCGAGGAGGTCATGGCCTGCCTAGACCGGCTTAGGGAGGAGGTGAAGGCCCTCCAGAAATGCGTTGATGAGGCCGATGTGACCTACCGGCAGGTAGCGGCTGACTAGGATGACGCTTTGAGGGTTAGGGACGAAGCCCTTCGAAGCCGTGATGAGGCCCTGCTTCAGGCCGAAGATGCCGCCAGGGCTCAGGCTGAGTCTGAGAGGGCCGCTGAGAAGGCCGTTGATGGCACCATCGAGAGGTTCCTGGCCGATGGCTGGAAGGCCGATGACCACCGTCCCTGGTGCTACGAAGTCGTGGCGGACCGGCTTGAAGATTGGGGCCAGAACTGCCCTGCTGGCCAAGCATACTTTGCTCGGGAGATGGCCGTCTATTATGATATGGGCCAACAGAGGATGCAACGGCTATTATACCGGAGGCTGCACCGGGCGTTCAAGAAGCTGAAGTTCACCAAGAAGTGGGCCAAGAAGAACCTGAAGCTTCCCCGGCTGATGAAGGATCCTGAGGCCGAAGCGAAACTCCCCCCTTTCGAGAGGCAGGATCCGGTGCTTAGCTCTTCTATTGGTTCGCCTTTATATTCTGATGATGAGGTCGATACTGTCGTCTCTTCGGCAACCGAGGTCAGCGGGGGTACCAGGACGGAGGAGGTCCCAGCGGAGCGGGTGGCCGATGAGGCCATTCCCGAGAGTTGATCGGCTGCATAATCTTTTTTTTTTATTTTAGCTAGGCCGTTGTGGTGCCCCTTTTGTAATGGCCGTTGAGCCCTCCTCATGTAACAACTTTTATTAATGAAGTTTGTTTTTGCGGCCTTATCATGTCTTTTCTCGTCTTTCTTTCTTTACTCCTGTTTTCAGGTCTTTTCAGAATCTTTACTAAGTGTTGGAATTGGAACTTAGAAAATTTTCTAAGTGCCAAGGCCTCGAATGAGTGGATGTTGGCGTCGTCCTGGTACTACGCCCCCTTTCGCTTTTGCCCAAAACTTTGGAAATTTTCCTAAGTGTTGAACCAAGTACCATACGTGGTGATCCCGTCGGCCCGGTGCCCTTTTCGGTAGTCTAGACAGGGAGTCGTATCTGATTTCTGTAGTTGTGGCCGATAAGGGTACCTGACTTTTGTCGTCTGGGTGCGATGGCTGAAGTGCTCCCCTATGGGACTTAACCTTTGGATTGCATGGATTGGTCGTCCCCATCGCCTTTAAATGTTCATGTTTCTTGCTTTGGTTATTTCAACCTCGAAATTTGTCTAAGTGCCAAACCAGAACATAGGTAATGTCCCTTCGTTGGCGAGGGCCGAGACGGGCACCTACAAATGTCTGAATGCCCGCTTCGTCTTGAGGTTGTCCCTTCGTTGAGGAGATTGCCCAAGTGCTAGGCCATGTAGTTTTCTCTGCTTAGTATTGTCGTCGGCCAAGTTTGGCGGTATGGCCGATGAAGGTACCCGGGTGTTTTGCCTCTTCCTTCGCATTTGCTTTCTTTAGGATTCTCTAAGTGTTGGAATTCACTCAGGGAACTTTTTTCCTTAGAAATTTTCTCCAACTGTTTGGGAATCACTTAGACAAATTTTCAGTTTAAACAACCGCCTAGGTTTTAGTGCCTGTAACGGCCAGCAAGAATGTTGTGGCCGGTAGGGGTTGCCTACTCATGTGTTTAACTTTCCCGCGGGTGTTTTACTGCCCGCTTCGTCCTGGGCCTCCTTTCCGGTGGTCAACTTCAGGATTGTGTTTAAGTGTGAAGTTATGATTCCTTGTTTTTCATGCTAAGTGTTGGCGCTTCAGGTGGTTATGGCCGATGAAGGTTACCACCCTCGTTTCGCCCAACCACTTTGGATAGGATTTTATGGGTGCATGTTCCGTCCTTGACACTTTCCTTGTAGTGAGTGGACGCTTCGTCCGCGTTACCTGTTGGTAGTGTTACCTTTGTATTCAACTGATATGTACTTAGCCAAATGTGTGGCTGATTTGTGGGGATTTATTTTTACTGCTCGAGGCCGGCAAGTGCGCGCAGTCCTTGGCTTCCCTCTTTTTTATTTTTTTTTGTTTCGTTCCCTATTTCGGGGAGTGTCCTTCTTTCAGGCTTCGGCCGAAGGGGTCGATAGTCCTCCGGCCGGTTTGGACTTCGTTTATAACGTCCATGATCTCGGGGGGGGGGTCCCGTCGCCTATTTATGACGCGAGCTAGACTTTCGGTTGGTTTCCAACGGCTGTCGTTGCCCATCCCTGAGTTTGGGGATTTTGTCACCTCGGCCATGATTTCAGGCATGTCGTCCTGTGATCAGGCGCGTGGACGACGCGGTGAACTTCCTGTTTCAAGACGCGGGCCGGTTGCGGGCCCATCGTCCTGGGGACATCGTCGGCCCTACCTGAGTGATTTGCTCTGAGGGGCCGGTACGACGTGCTCTTTCAGCTGGGCCTAAACCTTTCGCTGATACAAAATACAATGGGGCATACCTGAGCTTTTCGCTATAAGGCTGCAGATGCGAAGCGCCACATCGACCATGCCTGAGCCTTTCGCTCTAAGGTGGCCGATGAGGGTGCCTGTTAATGTGCTACTCGAACTCTTATAAATCAAAGGAAACATGATTTTTATTCAAAAGTGGCTCAAGGCCGAGGGTGGCGTTCAATCAATAATCCGTCAAAGGGTGAGGGCTTCGCCGGCTGCACCTCCTTCGGATTATTGATAAAATTTCACCAAATGGTGTACATTCCACGTTCGTGGTACATTGGTCCCGTTGGGGCGTTTAAGCTTGTAGGTGCCGGGTTTCAGCACGGCACTGACGATGTAGGGACCTTCATACTTTAAGGCTAGCTTGCCTCCTTCTGTCGGCTGACTTGCTTCCCTTCGGCGGAGGACGTAGTCCCCCACTTGGAATTCTCTGGAACGTACCTTGGCGTCATAGTATGATTTCACTTGACGCCGGTAGTTCTCTGCTCGGATGAATGCATGTTCATGTCTTTCGTCGACCAGGTAGAGGTCGATTTTCATGTTTTCCTCGTTGACCTCTGGGTCATATTGCTCCACCCGTCGGCTGGGAATAGTGACTTCTGTGGGTGCCTTTGCTTCAAAGCCGTAGCATAGGGCGAAAGGTGTTTCACCCGTTTCCCTCCTCGGCGTAGTACGATAGCACCACAGGATGTTGGGGAGCTCGTCGGCCCAACTTCCTCCTGCATCCTGTAGCTTCTTCTTCAGCCCCTCCATTATGGTTCTGTTGGCGTTCTCAACCTGCCCGTTGCCTTGAGGGTAGGCAACGGAGGAGAAACGGTGCTTTATTCCCCATTCTCGAAGGAGCTCTTGGAAGGGCGCCGCTTCGAACTGGGTGCCATTGTCGGATATGATCTCTTGGGGGACACCAAAACGGGTGAGGATGTTCTTGTGGACGAATTTCTGACACCTGGCCCCCGTGATGCTGGCCAAAGGTTCCGCTTCGACCCACTTGGTGAAGTAGTCGACTGCGACGATGATGTAGCGGTTGTTGCCATCAGTTCTGGGTAGAGGGCCGACCAGGTCAATCCCCCATCTCGAAAATGGAATGGCAGTGTTGACGGGGGCGTAGTTGACGGCTGGCCGACCAGGGGCCTTCTGGAGCACTTGGCACGTGGTGCATTTCCTGGCCAGGTCTGCACAATCTCGCGCCATCGTCGGCCAGAAAAAGCCCTGGATGACGAGACGCCGGGACATACTGAAAGGGCCCTGGTGTGAGGAGCAAACACCACATTGAACTTCTTCCATGGCCACATCGGCCTTGTCTTGGTGCAGGCATCGGAGGAGAGTGCCATTGTAGGATCATTTGTAGAGTTTGCCATCTTCAATAGTGTAGCTTGGGGCCCTGAGCTTGGCGAGCTTGGCCCTCTCCTCGTCCTGGGGTAGCTCCCCCGTCATGATGAAAGTGGCGATGTCAGAGTATCCGAGCTGAGCTTGGAGAGGATGTCGGCCTCGGCGTTCTCGACCCTTGGGATCTGTGTGATCTCGTAGGTTTCGAACGCCTTAAGCAACTCCTCTGCCGCCTATTTGTATTGCTTCATTCGGCCTTCCTTTGCTTCGTACGTACCCTCAGCCTGGCCCACTACCAGCTTGGAGTCGCACCTGATTTTGATGTGACGGGCTCTGAGGCCGGCGGCGAGTCTGAGGCCGCTGAGGAGGGCCTCATACTCGGCTTCATTGTTAGATACCCTGAAGTTGAAGCGGATGGCGTAGTAGGCTCTGAATCCTTCAGGGGATATGAGGACGACGACGCCCCCGCATGATTTCGCGGCCGATGAGCCGTCAGTGAAGAGGATCCATGTGTCATCTGGCTCTGGCCCGGGGGTGGTAACGGTTGTCTCCCTTGTCGTGCATTCGGTGACAAAGTCGACCAAGGCTTGCCCTTTGATAGATGGCCTTGGTTTGATCTCAATTTGAAATTGGCTGAGAAAGATCGCCCATTTCACCATCCTTGAGGAGCTAGTGGGGCTCCTCATGAGTGCGCCAAGGGGCTGCTGGGTCAGTATTTGGACGACATGGGCCTGGAAGTAGTGCCCCAGCTTTTTCACCGTATGGACGATGGCTAGCACTGTCTTCTCAATGGGGGAGTACCTGAGCTCGGCCTCCCTAAGTGTCTTGTTGATGTAGAAAATAGCCTTCTGCACCCCTTCGTCCTCACGGATGAGCACGGAGCTGATGGCCGACGTGCTCACCCCCAAGTACAAGAAGAGGGTTTCGCCGGTTTTGGATTTGGAGAGCACGGGTGGGGACGAAAGGTACCTCTTCAGCTCTTCGAACGCTTCCTGGCACTCCGTCGTCCATTTGAAGCTGTTTGCTTTGCGCATGATCTGGAAGAAAGGGAGTGACCTCTCGGCTGACTTGGAGAGGAAACGGCTCAGGGCCGCCAGTCGCCCTGTCAGCCGTTGTACCTCTTTGACGTTGCGGGGCGGCTCCATGTCGATGATAGCCTGTATCTTCTCCGGATTTATTTCGATGCCTCTCCGGCTGACCATGTAGCCGAGGAACTTGCCGCCTTGGACGCCAAAGGCGCACTTCTTGGGGTTGAGGCGTAGCTTGAACTCCTTCATGATTTCAAAAATTTCCCGGAGGTCGTCAGCATGTGTGGTGGCTTGCCTGCTCTTGACGATCATGTCGTCGACGTATGCCTCCATCGTCCGGCCGAGGACTGCTCTAAAGATCTTGGCCACCATCCTGGTATAGGTGGCGCCAGAGTTTTTGAGTCCGAAAGCCATGACGAGGTAGCAAAAAATTCCCTCCGGGGTCATGAATGACGTCTTCTCAGCGTCATCTTCATGCATGAAAATTTGGTGGTACCCTCTGAAAGCATCAAGGAACGACATCAACTCGCATCCCGCCGTCTCGTCCACCAACTGATAAATGTTGGGGAGAGGGAATGGGTCCATGGGGCACGCCTTGTTCAGGTCAGTGTAAACAACACACATTCTGAATGTCGGCGGTTTTTGGGCGAGGACGACGTTGGCTAGCCACGTCGGGTACTTCACCTCCTTGATGTGGTTGATTGAGAGGAGCATGGCGACCTCCCCTTTGACGAAGTCCCGCCTATCGGCGGATAAGTAGTGTCGCTTCTGTTTGATAGGCGCGGAGGCTGGATCGACGGTCAGCCGGTGGGTGATCACCTGCCGGCTGATGCCTAGCATTCGTCCGGGCCCCACGCGAAGATGACGGCGTATGACCGTAGGACGAGGAGGATGGCGTCCCGCTGGTCCTGTGGGAGTTGCTTCCCGATTTTGAGGACCCGCTCCGGCCGGGAGGTATCTAGAGGGACTTCCTCGACCTCCTCGGCCGGTTCGGCATGCGGTCTCTCCTCATCCTTGGCAGCGGCTGCCGTGATGGTGTCTATCCTATGTCCTTCCCTCTCGGCCGGTCTCGTTAGCTTGAGGTAGCATGCTTTGGCTATCCTCTGGTTTCCTGTGGCGTAGCCGATGCCACCATTGGTGGGGAACTTCAGACACAAGTGTTTCATGGAGATGATGGCCTCCAAGTCCTCCAGTGCTGGCCGCCCCAAGATCAGGTTGTGGGCGCACTGGAGGTTGACCACCATGAACTCCATGACAATTTTGGCGCGGTGGGGGCCGTCGCCGACCTCCACGGGGAGGACTATCGTGCCCTCGGCATCGATAGAGTCCCCGGTGAAGCCGGACAACGGTGTCTTGATCGGCTTCAGCAGAGCTTTGTCCAGCTTCAGCTGCCTGAAGGTGTCCAAGTACATCACGTTGACGGAGCTCCCCGTATCGATGTAAGTGCGGTGGATGATGGAGTCACCGATCTCACACCGGATGACGAGGGCGTCCCTGTGTGATTCTGTACCCGGAGGCAGATCTTTGTCGGTGAAGGTGATCGACTCCGTTCGCTGCTTCTTCGGCTGGGGGGGGGGGGGACGTGGGACACCTCCCCAATGTAAAGGGATTGGGCCCATTTCTTCCTCTGGGTGACGGAGTCTCCCCCGGTATTCCCACCTACGATGAGGTGAATATGGTTCTTCTTTGGCGGAGGCTCTTCAAAGTCCTAGTCGTCGCTAAGCCTGCCGATCTCCCGTTTCTTCGTAGAGGGTTCGCCCCCAGGTTTGCCGGTGTTTACCCACGTATTTTTGCGCGGGCCACCTTTAACAAATTGGGAGAGTTCCCCCTGATGAATAAGGCGCTCGATGGCTTTCTTCAGTGTGATGCAGTCGTCGGTGTTGTGTGAGGAGTTCTTGTGAAATCGGCAGTATGTGCCGCCTTGCTGGATGGCAAGGACCTTCTCGGCCGGCCGAGGAGCTTGCTCAATGAGGCCATGCTTCTCGGCGTAGTCGAGGATGGTGCTGACCGGGTGGGTGAAGGGGACCCCCGACCGTTCCAACCTCGGCCGCCAGTGGCGGTCTTTCTTGCTTTGTCCACCAGAGCCGTGACGGCCCTGGGCACCCTGGCCGGCCGAGGATGGTCCCGGGGCCGGCGAAGGATTTGTCTTCTTGGAGGGATGGCCTCCCTCTTTTTTGTGATTATGGAGCTCGTCGGCGTCGGCGTACAAGCTCCCGCGCTGAAGCGCCTTTGCATACGACCTCGGAGGGTCGGTGATGAGGCTCCTGGTGTACGGGGAGCTGCGGAGGGCTCCCTGGTATAGGACGAGGAGGGTGCGCTCATCGGCCCCCTCGACCTCTTCGGTCTCCCTCGTTCACCGATCAATGAATGACCGGAGGGGTTCGTCATGTTGCTGCTTGACGGAGAGGAGATGGGTGAAATACTTCTTCGCACGCTTCCTCCCGGCGAAGTAGGTGAGGAAGCGCTGGGCAAGGTCTTGCCATGAGTCAATACTTCCTTCGGGAAGCGCGTTGAACCACTCGTACGCCGACCCCTCAAGAGTGGAGAGGAACCAACGACAGAGATATTCGTCTGACGCGTTCACAATCGGCATGTTATTCTGGTAGCGGCTGAAATGCTCCTGGGGGTCTGATCGGCCGTCGTAGGACTTGATGGCGTTTCCCCTGTACTTCTCCGGGATGGGGGCCGAGAGCACCCTGTTGGTGAAGGGGGTCCTGGTCCTGACCTGCATGACGGGGTCACCTCACCCTTCGGCCAACTCCCTCTCAAGGGCGCTGACCTTGTTCATGAGAGCGTTGAGTCCAGGATCGTTGGAGGCGCCGGCCGTAGGGACGTTTGCCGATTGCCTGGCTTCCATCTGGGCCAGCCTCCTTTCCAGCTGGGCGATAACCTCGTCCCGGGGATCCCTGGCGGCCGCAGCGGCACCCTGCTGGTTCTTCATGCGCTAATCGTGGGCCGCATTGATCTGGTGGCGCACGTCGTCCTCGTGCAACTTTCCATTGCCCTTGTCCAGGCGGGGCTGGTCCGCTGTCCGGGACATATACCCCAAGCTTTCTCTTGGCGAGCCAGGCCGACGCTCCCCAATCCGCCCTGCCATCCTCTCTGAAACCGGACGACGGCGCGTGTCACCTAGTCTATTGAAGGCAGAGGCTTTTCCACGCGCTGGGGTCTGCCCAGGCCGAAGAGGGGAAGCGGGGTGGGAGTGGGATGACGCCGTGTCCTGGGCCATCACCCCCTCATCATTGCCTAACCTGACGACCAACGGTTGGGGCTGAGGAGGTGGAGTGACGTTCCCCCCGGTCCTTGGCAAGAGTGCGCTGAGGACGGTGGGGTTCTGAGCCAAGATGGCGATGATGACCGACAAAGCGGCCTGGACCTGTGGATCCACGGACGAAGAAGCCGCGGCCATAGGCCGGGCCGGGGCGTGGTCTGTCTTCTCCGCGCGCTTCTTGTCCAGGCCGATGCGGGCGTCAGGGGCGCCGCCGTTGAGCTGGTTGCGGAGGTCCGTAGTGAGGTTGATGGCCTCCTGGAAGACGTCCCCTCCGCCGACCTGGTCGGCCGTGGCGTCCTCCTCATGCTCCCTGGTCTCCTGATCCTCAGGGATGGCCTTGCTGATGAGGTTGCGGTTTGACTTAGTTCTTCCCATGATCAGTGGTTAGCTGTGCTTGGTAGCGACGAAGGTGCTAACTTGATTGTTCTAGTTCTCAACGAGAGCACCAAATGATAGAGTATATATCTAGAGAGAAGCGAGAGCTAGAGAGAGAAGTGCAAGTAAATGCTTCAATAAAATGATTTTGTCACCCCTATAACTACATCCAGAGGAAGTATTTATAGGAAAAATACGGGCTGGGCTCCCAAGCCTTAGGCTTGGGAGGCCCATTTACAACTGGACCGCTATTGGGATCAATACAAAGTAACTGATGGGCTATATAAATGAATAAGTGTAAAATCTAGTTCTGCGAGTCCTCCGTGGCCGACGAGGGTCTGGCCGACGAGGGCACGGCCGATGAGGGCGCGGCCGATGAGGACACCCAGGTTCCCTGGCTCCAGGGGCATATTCTGAGTCGGTCCCTCTTCGGCCGACGAGGGTCCTTTGGCCGACGAGGGCGCCGCGTAGTGGCTTGTGCTTTCTGTTCTTCTGAGTATGTGGATCCTGGGACCTAGACCTATATACTCCATCACACGGATTACATCATAACATAAAGCATTGCTATTGAAATAAAAGAATCATTGAATTGCAAAAAACTAACCTTTTGGCAAAAAAAATGAATTTTTTAGAGTTACATTTCTTTAAAGGAACAAGCGTTTTTTGAGGGGTAGGACTACTCACCCGGTTTAGCAACTGCCACCCAAGACCCAATCCATCACAATATTTGTCACCATGAACTCCGCCATGTTCGCTGCTTCTTACATCTCTCATTTCACTTCCAAAGCCCAATTTCCCACTCTCTTCATAACGCCTCGACCTATCACTTTACCGCTACTTCGCGTAGTCAGCCGAAATCTTCCAATTTCCACCGCTATTGAGACCCAGAAACAAACAGAAGCAGAGTTAGCGCCGCCGCAGCAGCAATTTGACGACTATGTGGAGGAGGAAACCTACGGCGAGGTTAACAAAATCATCGGTAGCCGGGCAACTGAAGCTGGAACAGGGATGGAATACTTGATAGAGTGGAAAGACGAACATGCCCCGACATGGGTCCCTTCTGACTACATCGCCAATGACGTCGTGGCCGAGTACGAGACTCCGTGGTGGACAGCCGTCAAAAAGGCCGACGAATCTTCTCTGAAGAAGCTCGTGGAAGCCAGCGATGACGGGAGGGACGTGGACGCCGTTGACGAGAACGGTCGTACGGCTCTACTTTTCGTTTCCGGGCTTGGATCTGAGGACTGCATCAAACTACTGGCAGAAGCGGGGGCGGACGTCAATTACAGGGACAAGCGCGGTGGCGGCTTGACGCCTCTGCACATGGCTGCAGGCTACGTCCGGCCTGGAGCGGTGAAGATGCTAATCAGGCTCGGAGCAGATCCTGAGGCTGAGGACGACCGAGGGCAGACGCCTCTGGACCTGGCAAGGACGATCATGAAGAAGCAAAGCCCTATGCAATTGGATAGAAGGTTAGGGTTAGGGGAAGTAATCGCAGCACTCGAAGAGGCGATTTACGAGTTTGCTGAAGTGGAGGAGGTATTGGAGAAGAGAGGAAAGGGGGAGCAGGTGGAGTATATGGTGAAATGGAAGGACGGAGAAGCGAATGAGTGGGTGAAATGTGGGCTAATAGCTGAGGATTTGGTGAGGGATTTCGAGGCCGGGCTGGAGTATGCCGTAGCAGAGAGAGTTTTAGAAAGAAGGGAAGGAGGGGAGGGTGGGAAAAAGGAGTATTTGGTGAAGTGGTCAGACATTGAAGAGGCGACATGGGAGCCTGAAGAAAATGTTGATCCCGCTTTGATACACCAGTTTGAAAAGGATCAATTGTAATTTGTAAACATGTAAGTGAATCCACTGTCCTAACAAGCCTTGCAAATAACAACTGTTATGCTAGATCATGTCTCCATTTGCATGTATGCATGTTGTAGTGTTTATCTCAAACATGCTATATGTAAAATATGAAACAAACATACTCTATATAAGATATTAGGCTACTTGTATCAGGTTTACCTTTTAAAATCTCACATTTAAATATGGTATTAGAATCAACCCCATACTTAACCTTGATGTGTGCCCCCGATGCAATTATGCAAACTCGGTATGAGATTCATTCATTCAGAAAATTATGAGATGCCTTTATGGAATAACTAGAATTGTAGGAGAGAGACCTTATTGTAAGGGGTGGTGAGAGAGACCTTGAATTGAGGAACCAAGAATTGTTGTGTATTTTGAAGTTTGATTGTACTAGTTTGAAATGAATTATGCGATTCTGTTTCATGTTTCTTTTATAGGTTAGTCTTGATACATTCAAATAACTTAGAATACATATGGTAAAACTCATTTGGCTGACATGACTGAATCTTTTCAAGAAAACACGTTTGGTAAAGTAGGTTTAAACCATCTTTACGAGTTTGGTAAACCTTTTATGGTGAAGAGAGGAAATGGGGAGCAGGTGGAGTATATGGCTGAAGATGGTTTAAACCATAGAAGAAATGTATCACACCATAAAGGCCTCGAAATCCCTCACCAAATCCTCAGCTATCAGCTCACATTTCACCCACTCGTTCGCTTCTCCGTCCTTCCATTTCACCATATACTCCACCTGCTCCCCCTTTCCTCTCTTCTCCAATACCTCCTCCACTTCAGCAAACTCGTAAATTGCCTCTTCGAGTGTTTCCTCTCTTCTCCTAATACCACGTTTGGTAAACCAGATAAGTGAGTCAAATAAGACAGTTAATGCTATCAAACAGGGCCATCATCATCATTGATAAGCCAAGGTTTTGATACTACAAGTCATTGGAGATTACTTGTTGAATTTTGCATGAGATTAGCCAATTTGTTAGACTCGTCATAGTGAAAAGTTCAAAGCCTGTGATTTTAAGCAGCCAGACTGAATTATAAGAAAAAATGTTTGGTAAAAACTATTTCAGCCACAAATTGAAATAACCCGACCAGTGCAACCAAATAAGGCCTTCATCATCATAGTCAAGGCAGGATTTGATTCCCCAAGCAGTCTAATTACTTGTCCGGTTCTGTATGACATTAGCCAATATTGCAATAAGCATTCAATTTGATTAATTATTTCTGTTTGCAGTAGTGCAGGGCCAAAGATTCAAAGAAGCTTGGTTGGGTTGAGGCGAATTCGCATGAAAATATTTTGGGCTTTCAACGTCAGTTTGTTAGAAACTAATGTTACTACACGATTTGAATTTTTCAGTAGTAGTAAGCAATCGAGCCGAAGGCATACTTGTTCAAGTGCTCCTAATTTTGTTAATGACTAGAAACAAGAGAATTTTCCATCACTTCCAATGGAGCCAAAGAGTCATTATTTTTTGGCTTTAGAATATGATGGAATAAAGCAAGTAGTTCACTAAACTGTTCGCGTTTTTTGTTATGTAACGGCAGTTAGTCCATTCAATTTTAGATGCGATTTTCATGATGAGTATCTGGAAACGGAAACCGTCTCTCGCCTCTTTAGTAGAGGGATAAGAGTGTGAACATCTTATTCCCTTACCCTACCATAGGTGAGACCCCTTGTGGAACTGAGTTAATGTTGTTGTTGTTGTAGTACTAGAAGCAAGAGAATATTACCATAAGAGAAACATTAAAAATGTGCACAAATTAGAGTCCTCATACTCTTTAATATGTAGTCATTTGATAAATTTTCCCTTGATGAAGTTCTAGGTTTACTTTTAAAATAAACAAATTAGAAGTTCTGATGTACACTAGGGGTGGACTCGGGCCGGGCCAACCGGCCCGGAACCGGACCGGCCCGCTACTGTGCCGGCCCGGCCTAGCCCGGTGAACCGGTTCTGGGCCTGGTTTGGGCCAACTGGCTCGGTGGAATGGCGGTTCGGGCTTGGGCCCTTCAAAAGGTGAACCAGCCGGTTCGGGCTTG